GTCCTCTGCATTACATACTGACAGCTGATCTTAGTTTAACTAATGGCCTCTGCTCTCCGTGTTAGTTACTTTTGACCCCTAAACTGTGCTTTACATACTACTGGCCTCTGCACTCTGCATTACATGTTCCTGACACCTGCATGCTTTGTTACTTACGAATGATTGCAGTCCTCTGAATTATGTACTACTGATCCCTGAACTCTGCATTACGTACTACTTACCTCTGCACTCTGCATTACTACTGATTACTAAACTCTGAGTAATTTACTCCTGATCCCTGAACTCTGCATTACTACTGACCGCAGCAATCTGTGTTACTTAATGCTGATCTCTGAACTCTGCATTGCAACTGACCTCTGAACTTTGCCTTATTACTACTGAACCCTGCACCTAAAGCCAATCCTCATACCTGACCAGTCTTTTATTGTCATGATTACCCATTTTTACCCCATGTATTCTAACAACTGTGACATATGGAAGGATATGTAGGCAGTCACAATGCTAAGATCTAGTGAGTACAATTTCTGGAGGGAGGGGGCAATTTATGCTGGAGATGGTTTTGTCATGGGGGGGGGGGGTGTATTGGGAGGAGGGGGGAAATATCCAACATCCAACAACGCCACCATCAAACCCGCCCCGCAGGCCAGAGTACTTGGTGTAATTCTGCACTCCAACCTATCCTTGCAGCCCCAAGTCCAATCTTTAACAAACTCGTGCAGACTCCACCTCTGCAACATCGCCAAAATACGCCCATTCCTAACCCCAGAAACCACTAAACAGCTCATCCACTCCCTCATCATATCACGACTCGACTACTGCAACTCCCTCCTCACTGGCCTGCCTCGCCGCTGGCTATCCCCGCTTCAGTCCATCCTGAATACGGCTGCCAGACTCATTCACCTTTCCAACCGCTCCGTTTCCGCCACCCCCCTCTGCCAATCCCTCCACTGGCTTCCGATTGCGCAACGGATCAAATTCAAAATCCTAAAACTGACATACAAAGCTATCCACCATACTGCCCCAAATTACATCACCGACCTGATATCCAAGTACCACCCAACACACTCCGCTCCTCACAAGACCTCCTTCTCTCTAGTTCCCTGGTCTCCTCCTCCCATGCCCGCCTCCAGGACTTCTCCAGGGTGTCACCCATCCTCTGGAACTCCCTGCCCCAACCCATCAGATTATCACCTACTCTCCTCTCCTTTAGGCGCACCCTGAAAACCCATCTCTTCAGGGAAGCCTACCCCACCCCCTGCTAACTTGCCGACCTCCTCCACTCTTCCTACCACTCCATCCCCCACAGCTATCTCCTCCTGTGCCACCATCCCCTCCCTCCTAGATTGTAAGCTCGAAAGAGCAGGGCCCTCAATCCCCTCATGTTTTGCATTGTATTGGTATTGTTCTGTCACATGTTCTGTCCCCCTTTGTAATGTACAGCGCTGAGCGAACTGTTGGCGCTTTATAAATACTGTATAATAATAATAATAATAATAATAACTTGCTTGGGAGGAACTCTGTGATTTACATACTTTTGACCCCTGCGCTCTATGCATTGTGCACTCTTGAAACACAGCAAAGTAGGCTCAGGTTTTACTTGACCAGAACCCTTTGGCCACACTTACCATTTGGTAAGCAGTGATTAGCCTTGCCCCTGTTCCACCCCTGTCTCACCCCCAATAAAATTAGGTGTGTTTCGGGTTTCCCTAGTTTTCACTTTGGTTACCTTATGCTGGCGGTTTCTACCAGCCAACCGTCCCGAAGAAAGGCAGCGCAATGGGAGGAACCTAACCCTAGCTGTGGGCCGGGGGCAATCATGTAGCTTTCTGGATCTGACCCCAGGTGGCAGCACTGAGACCTGAAATTTAAAGGATAAGTCCACTATAAACTGATGTTTGTTTTGGATGGACACCAGTAAGTTACAGTACACATCATGGGTGTAAATCTTTTTGCATCTTCAACAGGCTGCCCTACTTGCTGGATTTCACCCTTCCTTAGCTTTTGGGGAAACACATTAGACAGGTCCACCCCCAAGGAATCTTCAGTTCAGTGAAGGACACTGCGATGTTTTGGTTTATACGAGAGAACCACTTTGTAGTGTTTGCCATACCTATAACTGGGTCATACACCGATTACGGCAATATAAGAATGAGTTGTGTACAAACAATTGATTTGTTCTGTATGCCAATAAAAGCATAATTGATAAGGAAGCCCCAAAAAACATCGTCTGAGATTTATCAGCTCAACCAATCAGAGTTTAGTTACTGAACACAGATCAGAGAAAATGAACTCAATTTGCTATCCATGAACATAGTGCTCACTACATTCTGATTATATCCTGTATATTATATTGTATATCTCCCAGCATCCTCTAGGGGGAGATATTTAGCAATTTTTTAGAATTATGGGAAATTCTGTAAGTCGTGACTTGAAATGCGAAGCATTATTTTTTAATAGAAAAGTGATATGTTCAGAAAATGCTTCGTAAACCTTCCATAAAACACGCAATAGCATTTGGACACCATTAAATGAGTGCACAAAAAGTTACTAAAGCTGTTGGACTTATATCTTCCAGCTGAGCTGAACTATGGAAATGTCTAAGCTTTGGTTTTGCTCTATCGTTGGGTTTGCTTTGTGTTTATATTGATCCAGATAAATCGGAGGGTCTGAATTTACAGTTGACATTAAATATAGTGACTCAACTCTTTGCACACTGGGGATGAGTTGGGTTCGGTCTAAACACAGTTTGGTAGAACCTGTCACATAGTTTCAATCCTGACTGTTCAATCAGATACAGATCAGACCTAGCTCATCCTTAATTGCTATATATAGTTACACAGTTACATAGTTAGTCTGGCTGAAGAAACACAAAACTCCATTGAGTTCAACCGTAGAAAAAAAAAGTTATAATCCTACACCCACAGGTGATCCAGAGGAAGGCAAAAAAACCCAGCAAAGCATGATCCAATTTGCTCCTGCCGGAAAAAAATTCCTTCCTGATCCCCCGAGAGGCAATCGGATATTCCCTGGATAAACGTTACCTATAAATGTTAGTATATAGTTATATTCTGTGTACCCAAATATATGTTTATTTATGTATTACAGGTACTTATATACAGGGCTGTCTAAATAGCATCATGGGCCCCTGGGCAAAGTAATGCACTCGGGCCCCTACCAGTCTGCCCTGATTTACGCACCTAGAATTAAAGTATAAATAGTTGATAGAATGAAACCTATATTTATTAGTACTTTCAATAAAAATGATTTCAACAATAAGAAAACATGCAATAAATCAAAGACCAATCAACACAAAAGGCACTGTACAAGGGGGAAGGGGGGGGGGGGGGGCAGAAGGGCACAGTGCAGGGAGGTGTCAGGAGGGCACAGTACAGGGGGAGTCAGGAGGGCACATTACTGAGATCAGACGGGCACAGTATAGGTTCTGGGATACTGCCTGGGCCATCCTGGGACAGCTTAGTAAAAAACGTGACTGTCCCGACAAATCCGGGACAGCTGGCAAGTATGATGTAATGCAAGATTAACATGGGGCCCCTAGGCAGTGCCCATGCATTAAGACAGCCCTGCTTATATAATCCCAACAATGCACATATAAATTGTACATTCACATCAGCCCCTGCCCTCAAGGAGCTTACAATCTAAGGTCCCTAACTCACATTCATACATAGAGTACACATACTAAGGCCAATTTACCTACCAGAATGTCTTTGGAGTGTGGGAGATAACCCACAGGGAGAACACACAAACTCTATACAGGTAGTGCTGTGGTTGTGATCCAAACCAACAACCCTGCTGCTGTCAGGCGGTAGTGCTATCCACTTAGCCACTGCACTGCGCTCATGTCCAAGCTAACCAAAAGAGATGCCACTCTGGCCAGTCCCTACTCTACTCAATCTTTTGCATAATGGATATGACATACATTATTATTTGCATGTCAGCCTCATCAAAGTTATCTAATGCTTAGAGTGGTTATAAAGGCAGAAGGCTTTTTACCTTCATGTTCTCTATGCATGAAGATAAAACAACTTTCTGTGTGCAGCTCACCCCACAGCCCCCCCCTCCCAATACTCACCTGAGCCCCCTCTCAATCAATCCAGCGGTGTGCTTCAGAGCCTCTGCTGTCCCAAGTCTCTCTCTCCTTATTGGCTGAGACCATTGGCCCCCACTGCTGTCAATCACAGTCAGTGAGCCAATGAGGAGAAGGTGGGGGGGCAGGGCTGAGCTACGGTCCTATGTGTTCTATGGATGCATAAAGTGGGGCCCAGGAGCGAGCATGCACCAGTGCCCCAATAGCAAGCAGCTTGGTATTGGAGGACACTGGTCAAGGGGGAAGAGACAGGAGCGCTGGCGGGGGACCCAAAAAAAAGATGATGGGAGCTGCTCTGTGCAAAACCATTACCAGTATGACATGTTTGTTATTAAAAAGGAAAAAAATGAAGCTTTGATATCACTTTAATGCAGTATTAAACCCAAAAGTAAACATGTATTATATTGCAGCTTACCAATTCTTAGACGTGATGGCTGGATTCGTTTTTTCTTTATTTTCATCTGGTGATCCAGCCAGTAAGTCTATTGTTTTTCAAACACTCTATTCCAGGTGTATTAGTTTACAGAGATGAGACAAGCCATTTAACAATGTTACTGTCCAAAGGTGCTCCCTGTGCACCTTCATCCAGAGTGGGGGCACTCTAACAAGAAGGTGTTACTGAGCAGCCACTACATCTAATGATTGGTAAGATGCAATATATTTCATTTTTGATTTTGGTTTTATTACTGCATTAACGTTTAGTCATCATTAATAAAAGCCTTTTTAAAAAGTCTTTCATTTTTTTTATCCTTTTATACAAACATTTTGCACATCCATTTACAATTTAGAGGGAAACTATCTCTAGATTGTCCCCTTCCTCTATAACAGGGGTCTCCAAACTTTCTCACCAAAGGGACATTCTGAGGTTCTTCAGATTTTAAGTGGAGTCAGAATGTGGTGAGTGGGGTAGAAAATGTCCCAGGATCAGTGGGAGTAAACGATGTCTCAGGCTTAGTGGTCAGAGGGATTTAAAAAAAATTGCATAGCGCCTGTGGTCAGTAGGAGGAGGAATAGTGCCCCATCATTGGTGTCAGTGGCAGGAATAGTGCTCCATCATTGGTGTCAGTGGGAGGAAGAGTGCTCCATCATTGGTATAAGTGGGAGGAATAGTGTTCCATCATTGGTATTAGGGGGATAATTAGTGCCTCATCATTGGTATCAGTGTGAGAAATAGTGCCCCAGCGTTGGTGTCAGTGGGAGGAACAGTGTCCCATCATTGGTATCAGTGTGAGAATAGTGCCCCATCATTGGTGTCAGTGGGAAGAATAGTGCCCCATTATTGGTATCAGTGGGAGGAATAGTGCCCCAGCATTGGTGTCAATGGGAGGAATAGTGCCTCATTATTGGTGTCAGTGGGAGGAATAGTGCTCCAGCATTGGTGTCAGTGGGAGGAATAGTGCCCCATTATTGGTGTCAGTGGGAGGAATAGTGCCCCAGCATTGGTGTCAGTGGGAGGAATAGTTCTCCATTATTGGTGTCAGTGGAAGGAATAGTGCCCCAGCATTGGTGTCAGTGGGAGGAATAGTGTCCCATCATTGGTATTAGTGTGAGGAATAATCGCCCATCATTGGTATCAGTGGGGGGAATAGTGCCCCATCATTGGTATTAGTGGGGAGAATAGTTCCTCATCAGTGGTGTCAGTGGGAGCAATAGTGCCCCAGCATTTGTGTCAGTGGGAGGAACAGTGCCCCATCATTGGTATTAGGGAGAAGGAATAATGCCCCATTGTTGGTATTAGTGAAAGGAATAATGCTCCATTGTTGGTGTCCGTGAAAGGAATAGTGCCCCATTGTTGGTATCAGTGGAAGGAATAGTGCCCCATTGTTGGTGTCAATGAAAGGAATAGTGCCCCATTGTTGGTGTCAGTGGAAGGAATAGTGCCCCATTGTTGGTGTCAGTGGAAGGAATAGTGCCCCATTGTTGGTGTCAGTGGAAGGAATAGTGCCCCATGTTGGTGTCAGTGGAAGGAATAGTGCCCCATTGTTGGTGTCAGTGGAAGGAATAGTGCCCCAGTGTTGGTGTCAGTGGAAGGAATAGTGCCCCAGTGTTGGTATCAGTGGAAGGAATAGTGCCTTACGCTACCAATATGGCAATACAAAAGATGAATCCCCTGAAGGGCTGTAACGTTATCCTAGTTTTGCTGTATATTTTACAGAAGTGGGTGACAACTCTGACAGCTACAAGGATGTTGGCTGTGTAGAAGAATCTTTATGGGCACTAAATCAGCTTAGACAATCAACATTCTCTCCACTGCATGGAATGAGTTCTGCCCAAAGTTCCACTTTTATAGCACTGGCCTCGGAATGACCTCCCCAGGGCAGCCCTCTGCATTCATCCTCTGGGTGACAACCACTATGAGCCAACACAAGAACAGCATGAATAAATTGTAAGATTATATAGGAACTCTAGTGGAAAATAGTACATCAACCAAACAATACACACAGCCTGCCAGGAAAGTCTCCTTCTGGGCATCAGTGTTCCCCACCCTTAATAGCTGAACTGCTTTAAAAATATGACACCATTTTCTGAGCCTGCAGTCATTTCTCCGTGAAAGCTCAACTATACCTATTGAAGGATACCTTCGATTAGAACCATGAAAATTACAAATACATTTAATAAACTTAATATTAATATAATTTCATGTAAAAGCTGAAACTCTACTATAGGTAAAGTTGATTCAGGGAATATTCGATTACCTCTCGGCAGGGGCGGACTGACCATTTGGAAACTTGGGCACTGCCCGAGGGCCCGGGGTCAGTAGGGGGCCCCATGAGATGCCCCTGGTACCTTTTTCATAGGCTTTTTTGAGTTTGGGCAAGAACACAGTGGCCCCATGATCCCCTATTGCCCGGGGGCCCCATGAGTTGTCAGTCCGCCCCTGCCTCTCGGGGGATCAGGTAGGAATTTTTTTCCCTGCAGGAGCAAATTGGATGATCATGCTTTGTTGGGTTGTTTTGCCTTCCTTTGGATCTACTGTGGGTGTAGGATAACTTTTTTTTTTTTTCTTTATGGTTGAACTGGATGGACTTTTGTCTTTTTTTTTCAGCCAGACTAACTATGTATGTAATAGTTACTAATTATGTACTCTTTTTCTAGATATGTGTATCCTTGAAACCACTTCAAGATTTCTTATTTACCAAGTAGTAGGGCACATTACATTGGGGCAGTAGGGCATTTTATATGAGGGCAGCAGGGCACATTACAGGGGGGCAGTAGGGCATTTTACATGAGGACAGCAGGGCATATTACAGGGGGGCAGTAGAGCATTTTACATGAGGGCAGCTGGGCACATTACAGGGGGCAGTAGGGCATTTACATAAGGGCAGCAGGGCAAATTACATTGGGGCAGCAGAGCACATTACATGGGGGGATAGTAGGGCATATTACAGCTTCCTTCACATGCAGAGCAGCACAGGGAAGCTGCTGTAATAGAGTCCTGTTCTGACACGCTGTTCTCCTCTCTCATCCATCTCAGGTATTGTCACACACAAGCATCTGAGATGAACAGGAGGGGAGGACCACCAGGGAACAACGTGCCAGAACAGGACTCTATCATAGTAGCTTCCCTGCACTGCTCTGCATGGGGAGAGGAGAATTTCATGATAGGGGAGTGTGCGTGACCTACTTGTACCTGCCTGTGATTGACAGGCAGATCGTGGCAGAACCCCAGGGGACTTCTCGCTGAACCCTAGGATTCTGCAGAACTCCAGTTGAGAAACCCTGCTCTACTGCATCCCTGTGGCCTTGTGGCCATACATTTGTTGCTTGAAGGAGCATTACCCCCCCCCCCCCCCTCCCTCACAGGGGCTATTTATTCTAGTGCTATTCCTGGCAGCTCTTCAGCTGCTAACTGCTCTACAGGGCAGCTCAGTGGCTAAATGCTTAGCACTTCTGCCTGGCAGTACTGGGGTCGTTGGTTAAAATCCCAACCACAGCATCACCTGCCTGGAGTTTGCATGTTCTGCCTGTGTGGGTTTCCTCCGGGTACTTCAGTTTCCTCCCACACTCCAAAGACATGCTGGTAGGGTAATTGGCTCCTGTCTAAATTGTCCCTAGAATGTGTATGTATGAATGTGAATTAGGGACCTTAGATTGTGTGCTGCTTGAGGGTTAGGGACTGATGTGAATGTACAATATATATGTAAAGCGCTGCTTAAATTGGTGGTGTATAAGTACATTATTATACAGTATTTATTATACAGTTTACATTAAGTACATGTAATAATAAATAAAATACTCCTTTCTGCACTATAGGTATGGTGGCTAACCCTAGTCAATTCAACTGAACGCTCATCCGGGGGAAGCCCCAGTAAAACTTTCTTTGTAGTTAATAGGCATAGGTGCCTCTACTGGATCTCCTGTGCATTCAGGATGTGATGACAGCCGAATGTATGTGAAGATAGCCAATCACGGTCCATGAACTGCAGACAATTGCACCTCTTCAGATGTGTCAGAAATGTATAATTTTCAGGTGAGGGTGTCACATTCACTCTGATAACTGTTCTTCTCCAACTGTCAACTCACTAACTGTCATTTCTTTTATTCTTGGAGGAAGAGAATAAACATGTATCCTGGTATGAAAGTATGAAAATGATCCTGCTCAGATCTAGAATGTGGATAGGCATGCAGCAACTGCGGAGACAGTTTCTATGTACAGTATGATTGCACAGTTTTATAGTACGCTCACTAATTCCCGGCACTAATTATAGCCGTGAATCACCTTGAGTGAGCACCCTTTATTACCTGCTTGATAACCAGTCATATATTAACCTGCCCAGAGCACTGCTGTGTTAGAAGTGACAATTAAAAATGTATTGACACAACATTTCTCTGTAAACAAATTAGTATTAAGCTCTCTGCATTCTTCCCTATTGCTTCTGTGCTTTTTCAGGATCAGACATCCATGCGTCACATTACATCTGAACAACAGTGAAATAGACGGATGAAATATACTGTATATATGGGAGCTGTTTTACCTTCCAAGGGATTTGTATTTCTGTTTATCCAGTCTTGCTATTTAGTCCCGAGACAAGGTCATCCAGCACCCCGGGCAAAGTCGCCAAACCATTGTGCCCAGGGCAGCCGTCCTGCCCGCCCACCCCTTGTCCCAGCCCTGCTGATATTTATACAGCTCTGCTATCTCCCTATCTGGCAGCACAGGTGACCTGGCTTTGCTGATCTGCTGCACTTCAGTAATGCAGGCCATAGATTGGTCGAAAAATTGTCAGATTTTTCGGCCGAAAAAAAAAATCGGCCGATTTACGCACCGTTAGTGGGTTAATTGGTCGGCCATTTTTGGGGGTTTTGGCACATTTTTTTTATCGGTAAAATTGAAAAATTCACGGCCGATTTTCCTGGCAGTGATGGGCAAATCGTTTTACTGATAAAAAATCTGCACATGGGCCATGACCTGCAAGAAGTAGAAGAAGAAGAAGAAAAAGAAGAAGAATTCCAGGCTGCTATTATATTTTACATGAAAAAGTATTGTGGTTGCAACAATGTATCTATTTGTATCCAAATAAAAACATCTGTATCTGAAATGGATACAAATGGATACATTGTTGCAACCACAATACTTTTTCATGTAAAATTAATAGCGGAGCTCTCTGCAAGGGACAGAAGTAAAAAATGCCGGCCGCAGACGGGACGAAAATCAGCCGATTTTTTTTTTTTTACCATTGGTGGCAACGTCGGCCAAATGAACGACCGACTTTTTAAAAAAAAAAAAAAAAAAAGGCTGATTTGCGACCCGTCTATGGCCTCATAAGGGTCCTTTCACATGGGCGTTTTTCATCTGTCCATTTATGGATGAAAAACGGACACCCATGCATTTCTATGGACTATCGGATGATCATCTGTTTACATCCAGTAATGTTCCCATCCATTAACCACTTGCCCTCCTGAGGATTTACCCCCCTTCCCAACCAGGCCATTTTTGTGTTACAGCACTGCATTACTTTAACTGACAATTACGCGGTCATGCAATGCTGCACCCAAATAAAATTTATGTCCTGTTTTCCCGCGAATTGAGCTTTCTTTCGGTGGTATTTGATTGCTATAAAAAAAAGAAAATTTTGAGGAAAAAAACCCAATATTTTTGACTTTTTGCTATTAAACATGTCCAGTAAAATTTTTTTAAAAAAATCTAATTTCCTCATAAATTAGGCCAAAATATATTCTGCTGCATGTCTTTGCTACAAATTCAGGTAAATTAATTGGTTTACGTGAAAGTTATAGCATTTACAAATGGCGGAATTTTTAATACTGGAATTTTTAAAATTTTTACTAGTAATGGCAGCGATCAGCGACTTATATCGGGACTGTGGCGGGCAT